CCCAGTGTCCATTAGAGTTCCAGTTATCCAATCCAACAACATTAAAGTGATATTAAAGGCAATTAAACCCCCTCCCCCCCATAAAATAGTGGATCTGCATGGCATCTGAGCACCCCAAACCAAACACACTATTTCATTTTTATTATTCAAGGCAAGCTCCCCCATCCCTCCATGTCTCCATGCTTTATTTTGCTGAAAATCACTTAGAATAACACCTCCAGGGCATTTCTGGCTGTGGCCATTTTGAGTAAGGGCAAATGATTCATGTAGCATATACTTACTGAAGTTCATCTGCCCTTAGCTCAGGCATGCATAGGGCGCTTAGCTGAGAAAAACTCCTCCTCCTCTCCTCCCCTTCTGAAGACTCCTGGAATGTATGACATCATTTGCCTAGGCATGGAAACCAGGAAGTAACTGAAGAAATTTAAAAACAGTTATACCTTCCTATCTATTTACTAATGCTGGCAGCATAAGGATGAAAAATAATCAATGTTGATTGGAGAGTGAAGATCCTCTTTAATGGAAGGTTTGCCACCATTTGGACTAATGACTTCCTTACAGAATTAACCAAATTTCAGGGGTTTCACTCCGGGAGAATGTTGGGGTTCTCCACCTTCTCACAGTTATATTGGGAAATGTCTGAAATCCATGAGGACGGCAATCTGACTTCTTGCTGATTAACTAGTTGCTGACCGCAGATAGGCGAATGATGGCTGCACTGCGGCCGGCCAGTTCTGGGGAGGGCATCATATGATGTCCTCCCAGAATGCGCTCTCCTGCGCGCCCCCGGGGGCGTGCACCCGGCGATCTCCGTGATCGCTGTGTCCTATGCACACAGCTGATCACGTGATGTGGTAAAAGGTCAATCACAGCGGCCTTTTACCACGTGATCAGCCGTGTCCAATAACACGCTGATCACCGGGAAATGCAATTGCCAGTTCTTGGCTGCACTTTCCTCACGCTGTCAGAGAACCGCAGTTGTCAGCAGGGATCGGCACCGATCATCAGGGGACTGATGATCAGTGCCCTGATGATCGGTGCTCAGGAGTGTCATCCACCATTTCCTCCCACCTGTTCCCAGAAGTGCCACCTACCTGTGCCCACCAGTGCCCATCAGTGCAGCCCAGCGGTGCCACCAGTCAGTGCCACCTATCAGTGCCGACTATCATTACCCATCATTAGCGCCACCTATCCATGCTACCTCATTAGTGCTGCCTATCAGTACCCATCAGTGGTGCCTATCAGTGCAGCCTCATCAACGCACATCAGTGAAGGAGAAAAATTACCTGTTTGCAAAATTTTATAACAGAAACAAAGAAACATTTTTTTTCAGAAAGTTTTGCTCTTTTTTTTGTTTATAGCACAAAAAGTAAAACACCCAGTGGTGTTTAAATACAACCAAAAGAAAGCTCTATTTGTGAGAAAAAAATAATAAAAATTTCATATGGGTATAATGTTGCATGATCGTGCAATTGTCATTCAAAGTGCAACAGTGCTGAAAGCTGAAAAATTGGCCTGGGCAGGAAGGGGGTACAAGTGCCCGGTAGGGAAGGGGTTTAATCAGACCTTTTTGCGGTGCCTGTAATGGTGCCATGCACTTCAGGTGTAATGTATCTCTCCATATCTGACATTTGTGGATCTCGGGGTGTTGGACGGACCGCTTCGGTCTGACTGTATGAAGGGTCTGGTAATGTCCTCCCAATACCTCAATCCATCACACCTTTTGTTGGGTTCTCTTCTATTACTCTCTAGAGCCCGGTGGGGGTCAGACCTGGGGGAATAATGGAGGAAGTTTTATGGGTCCAAACTAGCGTTTCTTTGTCTGTTTGTCACAAATTGCCACAACTTTTACTTTCCATCATTTTTATTGTTTTAGTAGAAAAGGAAAAAGAGTTACAAACATTTGATAAGACAGAGGACTGAGTAAGGCACAAGGAATCGCCAACTAGGTACAAGTATACAGAGAACACGGCTCAGTGTCATAGGACTGAACTCTGCATAGATGGAATAGTTGGAGCCCCTCGTCTCTACAGAGAAATAGTCCATGTCAGGATTTGTAATAGTCCACATGGCTTATCAGCCCCCTGGAATTCCTCCACAGGGTAGGTATACAGGACTCTCCTAATTGCTCTAAATGTGGGCTTCCCCCAAGTGACCTTATCCACCTGATATGCCAATGCCCAAAAATATTTAGATTAGGTTTTAGAAACGCGGCGGGCAGAGCCTCCCTTGTGACGTCATCGCGTAATAATTGCCATTTTTACTGTTCCTTGCTGTTTGAGGATTTTATGATCTATAAAGTTCATGATGGTTGTAAGTGCGGTTCTTTTTGTTCAATAAATGGTCTTTTAAGTTATCTGCACTATGAGAGGCACCTTTTTTATTTTTACATGAGTTCATGTCAACCCTACGAGATCGGGACGGTCTGAGGAGCCTTTGATGATGTATGCGGTCTGACTTGAGTTATATGAGTCTGGATGGAAGTATTCAGAACAGGCGTTTGTTGACCCCCCTATAGTTAAGGGGTCAAAGGATCTGGTAAGGCTTCTTTCTGTTGGATGACATGTGAGTGTTCATTTGTTTTGGAAATTTTAAGTGCACTAAAACAGTGTTGCACTATGGAGGTTTGTCTTTGTTTCTACATATACGTCCTGTGTTTACGAGTCCATATTGTGAGGAAAGTGATCTGAGAGGAATTTATTGCTTGGAGGGGGATCTTAATTGAGTCGGTGGAGTCAGTGGAGCATGGAAATCTGGCTGAGATACATATATATTTAAGGCTTTGTGACCCGCAAGGGTCGAATGTGGAAGGTGAGGAGGTATTTTGGCTAAATTCAGGGGAGTCACATCAGAGCGTCACGAAGAACACATTTGCAGCATGGAGTGAAGTTATAATCACTGTGTATTGAACACTTATTATTTGCACAGTGTGGCATCACAAGTCTTTGGACTGTTTATTTGATTTAGTTCATGTAATTGGATACACTTATCACTTTGCACAGATAAAGTGTTATCATTTGTATTAGAATTTTCACGGTTTTTGACCACTAGAGGGCAATAAATAGGAGTGTGAATTTGCACCAGTTATTTATAAATGATTTTGTATAGTTTTAGAATCTAAGAGGGTATTAAGCACTTATTTTTCACAATATTATTGATGTAAAAAGGGTTTGTATACACTATATAAGTTGAGCGCTTCATCACAAAATATATAAAGGATCTGGTAAGCCCCCAATTTTGTCATCACGGTGGTGCAGGACTCACATTGGTGGTTATTTGGAATGAAGATTTTTGCTATTCATCACAAAACAAATGGGGACTGTTCTATATACCCTCTAGGGACTGTTACACATATGTCACCCCTATTCACACCACAACTTCTGGCATTGGTTCACCATTGAGCACTTTTTTTTTTTTTTTTCCCTGTTTATCATTGGTTATGTAATAATTGTACACTATATTTCTGTATTATTTAGATTTTTTTTTTTTTTTTTGTTTTTCATTTAGCGCAACACTAGAGATTTATTTGTATTTGTGATTTAGAGAGGATTTCCTCTTGGTGTGTTTGCTGCTTTGTACATAATTCGGTTTGAGTATTTGTGTGGATTTTGATTTATTATATGACCATTAAAGTCAGTTAAAGTAACGCAGAGCCAGATCGCAAAAACCAATGGCCTGGTCAGGAAGGGGGGTAAATCCTCTGGAGGGCGAGGGTTAAAGAGTCTCCTCTCTGGAGGGGGTGACCTATGCAGGCCATAGACGGGTCGAAAATCGGCTTATTTTCGCACCATTAGTGGGTTAATTGGTCGGCCGTTTTTCCGGGTTTTTTGGCACATTTTGTTTATTGGTACAGTTGGAAAATTTGCGGCAATGATGGACAAATCAGCTGACCGTTTTACCGATAAAATATAATATTAATACATTTAATTCAATAATGTAATCAAACCAAAAACATTGAAATTTGAAATATAGCGCCAAGTTCGCACATCACTGAGATCAAAGTCGCAGAATCGTTTTCAGTGTCTGATGAGGAATTTCCCCCACGAATCATTATCACTCAATTCTGCAAGTGGTTCTGATTTACTATCGCTGTTCTCTAGCCGCTCTAAAACCGCTTTTGACCTAAAGGGGCGCTTTTTGGACGCCATGGACTTTTTCTAAGTTTCGAGGCAGAAAGAACATTCAAAATGCAGGCAGGGCGCCGGACAAAGCACTCGGGACAAAATGTATGTGAAATGGTTTGATACAGGAATGTTATACTATGTGATTTTAGTGAATGTCATTTTGTCATTTTCAAATTTCTCGCCATTCCTCCCCCGTACGTCCCGACACTCACAGGGGACGGAACCCAGATGACAGATGCCGGCATCGGCCGGTTTACATTGCCGGGGACACTGCAGGAGGGACATTGCGGGAGCGCAGGACAAGGTAAGTGATCGAGGGATCGCAGAGCAGCGCCGCATGGTAAGCCCGAGTGTAGCTCGGGGTTACCGCTTGTACTGAAACTTTACCCCGAGATACACTCAGGAATACCTCCAGGGGGGTTAAACAAGCTGAAGTTAGGAGCTGATTGGCTCCCATGCACAGCTGCACCAGATTCTGAGTGCTCCAGTTTTAGTAAATCCCCCCCCCGTGTACTCGGTACGAATTGCAGCTTTGCCATTACTGGCATTTTTTCTGAGGACTCTGGTTGCTCGGCTGTCATGTACATCCACAGGCTTCAGTGCTGGCTGAGTGATCAGAAGAGTGCAGCAAGTAAAGGTCGGACTTGTCATCGTCTTACTTGCACCCAGCAGTGAATAGCAGGAACTCCAGCTTTGTCTTGTATACAGAATATTGATCTGTGATGTGGCAATGTTCTAGGGGTGTGCCAAGAATAATCCTGAGCCTAGGCTGCCCCCCCTCATTGACCTCACAGTTACTGCGGGGAAGGTCTTTGCTGCCGACACTTACATAGACTATTCTGCCTGGCAGGGGGCAGTTTAGGCCTCATGTAGACTGGGCATGTATCCGGGGGGGGGGGGCATGACACTCCAGCATATAGGTACAGACAGAAGGCACTGGTGCCCCATTCAGCCCCATTGCTGGCCGCCTGTACAACTCTATAGGATTCTGACAGCTGCTGGATGGTGCACCGAGTACTACTAATGCTTAGAGCGGTCAGTCTGTCTGCAGTCGCAGCGAAACGCACCAAAAACGCTCTGGAATGCACATGTCCCTATGTAGATTGAAGGAAAAGAGAGGGAAAAAAATGATCCAGAAAGCATCAAAAACACACCGGAACACATCAATAACATGCATTCGGAACACATCTATAGTGTGAACCGGCCCTCAGAAAAGTCCATTCTCTTGCTCTCAGCCTCCTCCAAATCTTCAGATTTCTTTTTTTGCTGCTGTGATCCAACTTCCCGTTAGAGGGTAGCCATGTTTATTATCTATGGTCCCACTGGATGTAGGGACTACCCATCCTTGCTTGCACTAAGATGAACTAGGGACTATGGACAATGGAAGTTGTAGTGTGCAGAGAGCAGTGTACATGACTGCCACTAACATGCACTGATCATTCCAAACATGAAATGGAAGTGAGGAGGAAAAGGAGAGGTGTGGGAGCTCACAGAGGACATTATACAGAGGAAGAAATATAACAGAAAAAAATCATGACAAATAGATTACAGGACTTGTAAGTAGTGGATGTAAATGGATTATTTTCAGAGAAAAAGATACAGTTTAGTGTCACTTTAATGGTTCGATCATCTGTCAGACCTCTGTTGCTTCCTGGGTCCCTGTTGGAGGGCCAGTTCACACTCCATGCGTTTCAGTTGCTTTTTTTCCTGCATCCAAAATGCCCAGAAAGTAGGTGATATGGTTGTCAATGTCATAGTTCACATCAGTGCTCGCAGTTCCAGTTGCAGAAAAAAAAAAGTAGAACAGACTGCATTTTTTCTGCACAGAACTGGAACGCGGTAAAAATGCACTTGAACGCACATGTCCCTATTTAAATTGAAGAGAAAAAGAGAGGGAAAAATGAGCGGGAATGCGTCAAAAACGCATCAGAAATGCTCATGCAGAAACACATCCGGAACACATCTGGACGGCGTTTCTATGGTGTGAACGGGTCCGGAGAGTTTGGCCTTCACAGGTGCAGAGAAATCTCTCCAATAAGGACTCAGCAGGATTGTAAATTGTGAAATAAAACCTCCCATCTGTCATCATTCCAGACTCGTTACCCAACTTAACAATAACAATCATTGGCTGGGATTATAACGGAAGTGAAAAAAAATAATTTGCTGAGAATAAAAAACCTTCTCCCTTGTTTTACCCAAAGCCTGGGCAGCCTAGATCCCATGGTGTGCTCTGTGTACATGACACACTCCTGACCCCTGCACTATGGATGGCACCTGGTTGTCACTATGCTTGCTGCCTTTTTCTTCTCCTCTGAGTACCCAAGAGGGCCCCTGTCAGATCGGTTGTATAGGGCCACCCTGATTGTGATTCATTGACTGTACAGGTAGTGCAGTCAGCATATGTTTGGAAATCTTCTCAGTCTGATAGTTTGCTGGGTGATCACACTGATCCTCATAGCACTCCTGCAGGTGATGTCCTGGAAATGTATTTTGGGATTTGTATTTCCTCTCCCATGATGACGTCAGTCTAGGCTGAATATATACAGTGCTGTGTAATGGAAAATTGTCTATTCCTTTTATTATTGCTAAGTGCAGTAACCCATGGCAACCAATCTGATTTCACTTTACAGCTGTCAGGTGACTGAGAGAGGAGATCTGATTGGTTACTATGGATTGCTACATTCAGAACTTGGCTATCTGTGTTACTGAATACCCTCCATGTCTCTCTATCAGACAGTCACTCTCTGCGGTATTATGCCACTGCAGTCTCCTCTCCGGGATCCGGGCTCCCTGTGTACTCTGCAGTCGGATATGTGGATGATAAGGAGATAGAGAATTATAACAGTGACACTCGGCAGTTCCTTCTCAAGACTGAGTGGATGAAGAAAGTGGACCTGACTACTGGGAGAGAGAGACACAAATAGGTCAGAGTGAATGAGCCTGTTTACAAGCACAATGTACAAATATTGATGAGCCGATTCAACCAGACTGGAGGTGAGACAATTCTTACATTTCTATTTCTTTATTACACCAAATACAAACATGGAATAAAATGTATACAAATGTGCCAGAAATGTGTCTGATGTATGAAAAGATTGGAGGCCGTTTACTGAATGCTCAGTGAGTATGGTATACATGGGGGGGGGGCCGCAACCTGTCAATCGCTATCGACTGGTCGACCACGGGGAGCCGAGAGGTCGATGATGACCACGGTTCTGCCTCCCCCCAGGGACAAAGAACACAGCATAGGGGGTACGTGATGTAAAGGGGGCAGAGGACACTACATTGGGGGGTGATGTAAAGTGAGGACAGGGGGGGGGGATTAATTTTTCTTTTTTTTTTTTTTTTTTTTTTTTTTTAAGGGTGCCGCCTAGTACCCCTTCACCCCCAAGGGGATCTTTGCATTACTCCATGTTGTCCAGGTAGACCTCATCCTCTGAAAGGTTGCCTCTCCCCCCGGTATACATGGTGAAGTTGTGTTCATTCCAATTATCAAAACTAATGTGAAAGCAAAAGATCCTGTCTTTCCTTTCCCTTGTACATGATTGGGTATTGTGGGAACTCGCTTCAACGTGGTAGAGCTTCTTCAAAGCACACAGCAACTCGCTTCTTTTAAGGGCTTTTTTGCCCACTTTTATTTACAAGAAAGTTCAAGAAACACAAATGCTTCCCACGCAGGGGTATCCACCATCAAGCAAATCAATAGTATTCAGCCTCCTGGCTTGTACGCAGTTTTAAGTCTGCCTCCTGCAGACTCTTCCCAAAATATGGCACCAGCACACAGCTAGTCTGGCTTCCACCTGACTCCAAGGCAGAGACCTCCCGTCTGCCGGGGTGGAGCCCTCCTGACTCCGTTTGCCGGGGTGGAGCCCAGAACTATGGTTAGGACCCTATAAAAAGGCCTGTACACACCTGTTGCACTCAGTGTGCTGGGGGTTCTCAAAACACGGACCCCGGATTGGAGATTTCATCCCTCCCAGATCTCTTTGAAATCTCCAGGCTCCAGATCCCAAAACAAACTTAATGAACAAATGAGGAAACTGAAAAGCCAGTTTCCTCTGCAATAAATCAACTCTCTGGAGCCCCTCAACCTGCCTGGTTGAGAATCCAGGGTTTTCAGCTTTATTTTGACCGTGGCAGGACACCGCACTGCCACAGTATATACACTGAACAGAGCTCTGTCTTGTTTACTAAGCTCAGTGAATGTTCCCTTTGCATTGTGATCTGTCTTTTCCTTTAGTAGATGAACCCCATTGCTGTGACTTCACAAAACAGCTAAAGTTGGAGAGATGACATGAACAGCGATCCCAGAGAAATCTCTTGTAGCAATGCTGTCTGTCTCAGGGCTGGAGAGCTGTGATCCACCACCGTTTTAGTATTTTTATAAAGACAGTAATGATCTGAAGTCAGGAACTTCACTAGATAAGTAGTTACCCCCAGAGTCCTGTATGTGGTCCCCAAAAACTAGATTTGTCTGGTCCTGTATTTTAAGTATGTGAACCCCTTCGGATTACGTGGAGTTTTGCATGAATTGGGCATAAAATGTGCTCTGAACGTCATCTAAGTCACAACAATAGAAGAACACAGTCTGCTGAACATAATACTACAAGTATTGGAAACAAGTTCTGTGGACCAATGAGGTTAAAATTGAACTTTTTGGCCGGAATGAGTAAAAGTACGTTTGGAGAGGAAGGGGCACAGAATTTAATGAAAAGAACCTCTGTCCAACTGTTAAGCATGGGGTTGGATCAATCATGCTTTGGGGTTGTGTTGCAGCCAGTGGCACAGGGAACATCTCACGAGTAGAAGGAAAGATGGATTCGATAAAATTTCAGCAAATTTTGGATGGTAACTTGATGCCATCTGTGAAAAAGCTGAAGTTAAAGAGAGGATGGCTTCTACAAATGGATAATGATCCTAAACACACCTCGAAATCCATGGGGGATTACATCAAGAGGCGTAAACTAAAGGTTTTGCCATGGCCTTCACAATCTCCTGACCTCAACATAATTGAAAATCTATGGATAGACCTTAAAAGAGCAGTGCGTGACAGACAGCCCAGAAATCTCAAAGAACTGGAAGACTTTTGTAAGGAAGAATGGGCAAAGATACCTCAAACAAGAATTGAAAGACTCTTGGCTGGCTACAAAAAGCGTTTTACAAGCTGTGATACTTGACAAAGGGGGCAGTGCATGCTATAAATTCTGCAGGGTGCCCAAACCTTTGCAGACGCCATTTTTTTGTTTTCTGTTATATTGAAAGTGTAAATGATGGAAATAAAATCTATCTTTTGTTGGCATATTATAAGAATGTCTAATCTGTAATTTGATGCCTTTTGGAGATTTTTCCATCTTTCCTTGGCTTCTTTATGCACATTAATTCAAATTTTTAGCTGGGGTGCCCAAACTTTCGATCCCCACTGTATATACTTAACAAAATATGTGCAAAATAAAATCAAAACAAGATTCAAATCGTGAGCAACACGTGAATCGTGAAATAACTCCGTGTACACTATATATGAACATTCAGTGTACACTCATAAAACAAAATAAATTAAAAAATGAAATAAAATTAAAAATAAAATTATATATAAATTGTAAAACACTCCGCAAACACTTCTAAATAGCTGAAATGCATACAATTACCCTCATTAGAGTAATAGCAAGCCTTTAATCACTTGCCTACCGGCACTTATACCCCCTTCTTTACCAGGCCAATTTTCAGCTTTCAGCGCTGTCGCACTTTGACAATTGTGCGGTTATGCAAGATTGTACCCAGATGAAATTTTTATCATTTTTTTTCTCATAAATAGAGCTTTCTTTTGGTGGTATTTACTCGCCGCTGGGTTTTTACTTTTTGCGCTATAAACAAAAAAAAGTGCAAAAAAATTTGAAAAAAAAAAAGTTTCTTTGTTTCTATTATTAAATTTTGAAAAACCGGTAATATTTCTCCTTCACTGATGTGCGTTGATGAGGCAGCACTGATGGGCACTGATAGGCAACACTGAAGGGCATCGATAGGCTGCACTGATAGGCAGCACTAATGAGGTGGCACGGATAGGTGGCACTGATAGGCGGAACTGATGATGGGTACTGATAGACAGCACTGATTGGTGGCACTGACTGGCATCACTGCTAGCTATTGACTGGCGGCACTGTTAGGCATTGACTGGCGCAACTGCTGGGCACTGACTGGCACAACCGCTGGGCACTGACTGGCAGCACTGGTGGGCACAGGTGGGTGGCACTGGTGGGCACAGGTCGATGGCACTGCTGGGCACAGTGTGTGTGGCACTGCTGGGTGGCACTGGTGGTTGCACTGCTGGGCACAGGTGGGTGCACTGCTGGGCACAAGTGGGCAGAACTGGTGGGTGGCACTGCTGGGCACCGATCATCAGGGCACTGATCATCAGTGCCCTGATGATCAGTGCTCTGATGATCGGTGCCGATCCCCTGCTCTAACAACTGCCGGTTCTCTGCTGTTCTTTCCTTATGATCTGACAGCGTGAGGAAAGTGCAGCCGAGAACCGGCAATTGCATTTCCCTGTGATCAGCGTGTCATTGGACGCGGCTGATCATTGGTAAAAGGCCGCTATGATTGGCCTTTCACCACATCACGTGATCAGCTGTGTCCGTAGGACACAGCGATCACGGAGATCGCCGGGTGCGTGCCCCTGGGGGCGCGCAGGAAAGCGCGTTCTAGGAGGACGTCATGTGACATTCTCCCAGAGCTGGCCGGCTGCAGTGTAGCCATCATTCGGTTATCTGCGGTTGGCAAGTAGTTAAAGGGTACACCCTGGACTCTCACTCCAGTGTTGTAGTCACCCCCTGGACTCTCACTCCAGTGTTGTAGTCACCCCCTGGACTCTCACTCCAGTGTTGTAGTCACCCCCTGGACTCTCACTCCAGTATGTTACAGATGGGGTTCCAATCCTTAGGCAGACATCTCATAACTCCATCATCATTTAGGGATTTCATCAATCAGCAGCATATTCCCATGACATAGCCTAGAGCAGCTTCCTGGAATGTTATACTGCTTATTCCAATAATAAAGATGGCCGCTCCGCCACATCCGGTTTGCGTATTACATAAGACGTCACGTCCCTTGATGTGTTTCGTCACTTCCGGACTTCTGAAGGGATATCGACGTCTGAACGGCAGTTCCTCTTATCTCAACCTGCATCAATCTTCTGACGAACAGATGGAATCTTTTTCTTGCCCTTTGGTTTTCCATGTTTTGGCCGCAGTTCCTAATGCACTGGGTCCTTCAGGGAAGGAAATAAGAATTTAGCAGCGAGTAAGAATAGCCAAGAGGAGATGATTATGGGAGCGGACATTTCCTTGTGTGAGGAGCCGTCACGTTTTCACCCAGAGCTTCACTCAGACTCTTCTTGGCCGCCTACAGTTCGCTCACAAAGTTCACTCCAGTTCGCTAAAAAAAATTGGTCACGGCAGGTCACATGGTACTGGAAACGGGGCCGCTACACAGATCTGTCATTGGCCGTGTCCGAGGTACACGGCCGGTGACAGATTGCGCAGCAGTGTGGACCTGCAGGCGGGCGCACTGCGCATGACTGAAAGGACGCCAAATGGTGTCCACCCGGAGGTACGAGCTGCTCGCCCGGCCGCCTTTGTGCTATTGGCCGGGCGGGGAACCAGTTAATGTTAATGGTAAGCCTGCTGTCTTACCCTCTCTGTGCCTCCCGGAGCGCTGATTCCCTGCTGCACCCACTCACTTTGCTAAGATCAGGAAGGAAGCCCGGCCTGGACTGACCATCACAGCTATGCTCCACCCACCCGGCCTCTCTGCAGCCAGCCGGCCGTCTATTCCATTCACTGCATAGGGCCAAAGGGCGGAGCCTAGATGTCAGCTGACTGTGAAGAGGGGGGTGCAGGAGAGGAGACCATCGCTGCAATTCAGGTATCAATACAGCCGCAGACACACACGGACCCCAGATATGTGCTGCTTTACTTGTCAAATAGAGTCTACCTCTTTCTCCCCCCCCCCTCTCTCTTCTCCCCCCTCTTCTCTTCACCCCCCCCCCCTTTCTCGTCTCCCTTAGACCTCACTCTCTCAAAAGAGCCTCTCTCCACTCCTCTCTCTCTCTCCCCCCCCCCTCTCTCTCATCTCCCCCTCTCTTCTCACCCCATCTCTCTCTCTCTTCTCCTCCCTCCTCTCTCTTTTAACCCCCCTCTCTCTCTCCTCTCCCCTCACTCTTTTCTCCCCCCTCTCTCCTCCCCTCTCTCTCTCCCCCCTCTCTCTTCCCCCCCTCCTCTCTCCCCCCCCTCTCTCTCTCTCCCCCTCACACTTCCCTCCCCCCCTCTCTCTTCCCCCCCCCTCTCTATTCTCTCCCCTCACTCTTTTCTCCCCCCCTCCCCCCCCCTCTCTTCTCCCTCTCTTTCCTCTCCCCTCACTCTTTTCTCCTCTCTCTCTTCTCCCCCTCTCTCTCTCTCTCCTCCCCCTCTCTCTCTCTCTTCTCCTTCCCTCTCTCTCTCCCCCCTCTCTCTCGTCTCTCCCCTCACTCTTTTCTCCCCCCCCCCCTCTCTTCCCTCTTTCTCCCTTTCCTTTCTCTCTTTTCCCTCTTCCCTATCATCTGTTTCTCTCTTCCCTCTTTCTGTCTTCCCTCTCTCTTCCCCTCTCTCGCTCTCTTTCCCCCTCTCCCCCCTCTCCTCTCTCTCTCTCTCTCCGCTTTTTTTTTATCTCTCTATCTTCTCTCTTTTGCTCTTCCCCCTCTCTCTCCCTCTCTTCTCTCTCTCTTCTCCCCCCCCCCCCCCCCCATGAAGCTGCAGTGCTGTCACGGGGTAGGGGGATTACACACTGACACAAGGCATTCCAGCTCAATGATGACTCGCTCTCTGCTCTGCCCACCCCTCCAGTTCTCCATCTTCAGCCCCCGTGGCAGGGATGTGGCCCCGCCCCTCTGCTGAAACTCCCAGGAGGAGAGGTGTCTGTAGTGCCTTCTCCGGCGCTGCCCCATCCACCAACACTTTCTGATCCAGCCTCGGCCAATGGTAGTCCTTCGCTTCTTCTCCCCACTTACTACATGAACCTCACTGTCCGTCCCCTCAAGGCTTTCTGATTTCCTCCTTTCAGCATCAGGACATACAGGGAAGACTGAGCCTCTCATGGGGCCCTCTAGTAACCCCGGGCCCTCGGGCAGTGCCCCTGCCCTGTACATATTTTCTCCCTATACCATCACCTCCTACATATCACACACATGACACCCTCTGATCCCGGCTCACATCTCCCTCTTCTCTCTGCAGGGATCCATATCCTCCAGCGGATGTACGGCTGTGAGCTGAGAGATGACGACACCACTGCAGGGTATATGCAGTACGGATATGATGGGAGAGAATTCCTGTCTCTGGACACACAGAGATGGATCTGGATCCCGACCATGAATGAGGCTCAGATCTCCACACAGAGATGGAACAGTCCAGAGGTCAGAGAGGGGGAGAGAGACAAGAATTATCTGAAGAATCAATGTCTGGAGGAGCTCAAGCAATTCATAGAGTACGGGAGAAAAGATCTGGAGAGGAGAGGTGACTGTATACGTTTATTATCCTCGTACAATATATACGCATTACACCCTATATACACACTATATACTGTATACACGCTACACCCTATATACACTTTGCACCCTGTCACAATCATGCCCACAGGGAGAGGTGCGGTCCTCCATTTTACCCCAAACTTCTACATTTTGGTATTGCTTTTAAACTCATATGCCATCACCTGGGGGGGGGAAGGTGTAGTATCGTGCATACAAGAGCCAGGCACAGGTTCTCACTGTATTAAAAGTCTTCTGTATCCCCTCATTTCCACCCCCTCCCTCAGGAATGCGATCAGTGTGTGATGCTGAGCCGCTGCCTAACAATTCTTTGCCAAATAAGGATTGGCTTGTCCATGGTAAGAAGATACCAGTTGATTTGGTGTAGAAAAAGAAGCTGTTATGTTTTGGGTATAGTCAGAGAAGTGAGGACTTTCTGCAACATCTCGCAGAGAAAGAGAAAAGAAGATTTCCCTGCCTTGATATCGAAACTAATAGTGGGAGATCAAAGCATCCTTTTGGTCATGAGACTTGAAGCTGCTTAAAACCAAGGCTGACTGGCAAGTACTTTAACCCTTTAAACTCCTTTCTGTTATCTGTTATATATATATATATGGCCTGGCCGACTCTCCAGGTCAAGAAGCAGGTTTTGTCAGTTTTGGATGCAGCTGGCTACGGTAAGACGCCTGGGTGCAACTATCTTGGCCCAGCTGGACCCGTGACTGACCTAGCAGACAGGAAACTGACGGAACTGGTGTCCTGGATGCTAGCGGGTAAAGAGGACTGTTCATCTTGGACGAAGGTACCTGTGGACCCATCCGGGCAGTGATTTCCAGAACTCGCCTGTCCGTTTCCGGTGCACACAGGCGCCACTACCTTCGGGTCAGATGTAGTCCTGGTTCAGAGGAAGGAGATGGGAGAGGGAAAGCTCATTCTCTACCTCGACAAAAAGCTACATCTCAATATGTTAGCAGATGGACACCCCTGAGCCGAAGTGTTTTGTGAACAGGTGGGCACCCCGGCAGTCGCCACGATGTCCGGATAGTCACAGCCAACTGGTGCTCCCCGTGACCACTCACTTGGTCGGCACAACAGAAGGAACCTGGTTCTCCCGCAGTGCAATGGCACCCTGTATACCCAAGGTGAACCTCTGGGCAGAGGTCGGTTGCGTCAGGAGGGAAATTGTAGTTCCCTCCCATGCAACCACCTGAGGGGGGAGGTGTCACAATCATGCCCACAGGGAGAGGTTCAGTGCTCCATTTTACCCCAAATGTCTACATTTTGGTATTGCTCTTAAGGAGGGGGGAAGGTGTAGTATCGTGCATACAAGAGCCAGTGTTATGATCCGCCCGGCGGTGTCTCTAGCAGCCCACAGCGCGAAGTTCCTCAGGGCGCGGGGTCTAAGTCCCAATCTGCTATTCACCAGGGCCCCTGATGGTGGGGATGGACTTGGCGCAGACTGAGACCAGGTCGCGACCCCTGAGTATGTCCGGCAATGGTAGAGAGCACCGTCGGGTGTGCGAGAAACGGAGTCTGATGTGAAGAGGCTGGCAGACTTACTGATAGGGAGCGATCCGTGCGGGATGGATGGATCGTCTGGGTAGCATGAGGGGTAGTCAGGCAGGCCAGGTCAGTAATGTGCGGGCAGCGAGGTACCAGAGGAGTAAGCAGAGAATGGTCGGAGTCACAAGCCAGGTTCAGCAATTGGCGGGCAGCGCGGTACAAAGGATCAGGCAGAAGGATGGTCAGGCAAGCCAGGGGTTAATAAGGAGAAGTCAGGGTCAGGTACAATGCAGAGGTCGGCAACGGAATAATCACAGGATCAGGAACAGAGCAGATAAGACCAAAGGGCAATTTTGACATACCTCTGTTCCGTTTTAAATAGTCCGACCTGCGCTGTCATTGGTGCCAGGCGCGTGTCCGCGAGTGCTCATGTGCGGCCATCGCCTCAGCCGCGCTTGTCCAGGTCCTGTCGCCCGCCGGCTAGAGCGTGTTGGTGTTCTGCGCATGCGCCGCCCAGTGCGATGCTGCAGAACACCCGCACCCTGACATTGCCCCCCTTACGGGCAGCCGCCGGATGCCCAATTGCTCTCTCTTGTGTGGGTGGTTATCGAAAAATTCCCGAATCAGTCTAGGGGCATGGACGTTCTGGGCTGGTTCCCATGAGTTTTCTTCCGGCCCGTACCCTTTCCATTTAATGAGGAATTGAGTCTGGCCTCTCCTTTTTCTGCAGTCTAGAATTGTTTCAACCTCAAATTCCTCTTCCCCATCAATGTTCACGGCCACCGGAGGCCTAGATCTCCGGTTCGGGAATGGATCCGGTGCCGCGGGTTTCAACAAGGACACAAACACTGGGTGTATTTTAAAGGATTCAGGAAGTATTAGCTCATGCCACCTCGTTAATCTTCCGTCTCACCTTGAATGGACCCATGAATTTTGGTCTCAATTTTCTTGATGGGCATGACATCTTTAGATTTGTTGTGGCTAGCCAGACCTGGTCCCCTAGATGCAGAACAAGCTCGCCTCTCCTTTTATCGAAGGCCTTCTTACTATCTTCTTGGGCTTTTGTGATAGCCTCCTGTAGCACCCTGTTATTTGTTGAAAAGAACTGTAACATGTCTTGTGTAGCTGGTACTGGACTCTCTGGAATCGTGTCAGGTAGAAATGTCAGATGGAATCCGTAGTTGGCAAAAATGGGGATTGTTGAGTAGCAGAGTGGTTCGCATTATTATAAGCGAACTCGGCCAGCGTCAAGAGAGTCAGCCAGTCATCCTGAAGGAACGAAGTGTAGCATCAGAGATACTGCTCCAGGGTCTGATTTGTACGTTCCGTCTTTCCGTTGGTCTGTGGGTGGTATGCTGAGGATAATGACAGTTTGATTCCCAGAGTCTCGCATAGTGCTCTCCAGAATTTAGAGGTGAACTGGACTCCTCTATCTGAAACGATGTCCTTTGGGACCCCATGAAGTCTTACCACCTCCTTTACGAAGATTTGAGCTGTCTCTGCAGCGGATGGTGTGTTCTTTAGAGGCAGAAAATGGGCCATCTTAGATAGGCGGTCCACCACCACGAAGATGGCAGTATGGTCTTGGGATGGTGGGAGCTCCACAATGAAATCAATGGAGATCATCTCCCATGGCCTGTTAGGTATGGGTAAGGGTCGTAACAGACCCCAAGCCTTGTTGCTGGAGGGCTTATTCTTCTGGCAAACCGCACAGGTTTTCTCACGTATGCTTTGCAATCCTTCGACATACTGGGCCACCAGAACACACACGTTGCAGCAGTTCCAATGTTTTTCAGACCCCAAAGTGGCCAGCCAGAGGATGATTATTGCAGTGACCCAAGACTGCGGTGCGGAATTCTTCGGGTACCATGATCCATCCCTCTTTCCACCAAAGTCCTTCCTTATTCTGCAACGGAACTCCTGGTAGGTTTGGCATTTCTATGGACGTTGCCTGTAATTGGGACCGTAGCTCTGTTTGTAGCGCAAGAAAAATGTCGTAATTCCTCTCCGCAGATGACAGTTTCCTGGAGAAAAATGCCACGGGGTGCATGAGTTCCTTGACGCCCTCCCTTTGGGATAGTACAGCCCCTACCGCGTTTTCAGACGCGTCTACCTCTAAGATGTAGGGTAGTGAGGAATCCGGATGGCTCATACGGGGGCCTCCTCGGTGAACAACCTCTTCAGAGACTCGAAAGCTATTTGTGCCTCAGGTGTCCACCTGAAACGCACTCCTTGTTTGGTGAGTTGGGTGATGGGGAACACAAGGCCTGAAAAGTTCTTGATAAATTTTCTGTAAAAATTGGTGAAGCCAATGAATCGCTGCCCCACCCTTTTTGTCCACCGGCACCGGCCATTCCAGAATTGCAGAGATCTTTTGGGGGTCCATGGCTACCCCGGTGGTGGAAATGATTAGCCCTTAAAAGGGAATGCTTTGCTGCTCAAAACTGCACTTCTCTGCTTTTGCGTATAGGCCATGTAGACGGAGCCGTTCCAGCACACTTTTAACGACGTGACCTCTATGCTCTTCAGGGATGCAGAGAAGATCAGAATGTCATCTAGATAGATGACCACAAAAACATCCAGGAAATCTCTGAACGCATCATTAATGAAGTGTTGAAACGTTGCGGGGGCATTGCATAGACCGAAGGGCATTACCAAATATTCGAAGTGCCCAAACCTAGTACGGAAAGCACTTTTCCACTCATCTCCCTCCCAAATACGGACCAGATTGTAAGCCCCCCTTAGATCCAGTTTCGTAAAAATGGACGCTGTCCTGAGCCTCTGAAACAATTCTGGTACCAAGGGAAGTGAGTAATGGTTCTTCACTGTGTGATCTTATTGAGTTCCCTGTAGTCCACACAAGGTCTCAAGGATTTATCTTTCTTCTCGATGAAGAAAATACCTGCCCCGGCCGGGGACGTGGAAGGACATATGAACCCTTTCTGGAGATTCTCGTCTATATACTCCTTGAGTACTCCCAATTCTCTCTCAGATAAGGGAAAAAATTTGCCTGAAAGGTACCTCGAATCCAGGAAGTAGGTCAATCGGGCAATCATAGGCCCTGTGTGGGGGAAGGTTGTCTGCTCCTCGTTTGTTAAACACGTCAAGGAATTTGTGGTAGGCCGGGGGAATGAGTTGCGTCAATTCTGCGTCAATATCCAAGCATAACAGTGAGCGTGGAGCCACCGGCTCCTGTGGATAACAGTGCTCCTGACAGTATGGGGAGCTGACCTGGAGGGGTACCAGTTTTCCAATTAATCTGGGGGTCGTGGGCTCGTAGCCACGGAAGCCCCAGAATAATTGGAAACAGAGGGGATGCGATGGCATCCAAACTAAGGCATTCCCGATGGTGCCCGGCAACTGTACAACAGAGAGGTGGGGTCTCCCGGTCTACTATCCCTGACTTGATTCGGGACCCATCAGCCAGAAAGATGTTTAAATCCACATTCCTTCGTGTGTAGGGGAATCTGAAACTGTGCTGCAAAA